AGGGAATAGTAAGGTGGAGGTGTGGGAGAGGCAGGAGAGCGATGACCTGCAGAAAGATTCCCTCGTTTACAGAGAAGAAAGATCTGTGACAGAGTTAACTCAAACGACAGAGGTACGAGTTTTCTTTGAGTTCTCAGTACGAGGTTCACCGCAACCGGTGCTTCTCCTGAAGGGGCTCCCAATCCGGAATATGAAGGTGGATGTTGGTTTGTATGGCTGGCGTGTGGAGGCAAGAAAGATGGAGTTGAACCAATACTCTTCAAAGCTGGGGATGTGCCTCCAACGCAAACAGGGCAGCTCTACGGCTAAAATCCAGGCGGCCTACCCATAGTCCTCAACCGGAACGATGTTGTCAGTTGAATACTACCGAGAGATGCGGAAGGTCTGCCAAAGACTCCCAAGTTTGAAATGTTCGTCGGTCCTATGGCTGATCACACACAGAGCTCCTTTGGACTCAGAGTCACTCTTTTTGCGAGGCATGAACGTGGAGGTACAATGTGTGAGGTGTCATCGGGGGGTGGAAGATGCTCCTCACCTATGGGGAACTTGCCCCCTCTCGCTTCGTCTCTAGAATTGGTGGGCATACCATTGAAGGAGATGGGGGGACCGGCGGACTTGGTTTGGGATGTGGAGTGGGCTGTAACGGGTATCTTACCCCCTTCACTGTCTTATAACAAGGGTTGGGGATACGTGGCAGTGTCTATCCGCGCGGTAGTTGTGTGGTGGATTAGGAAGGAACGCAACTCGGTATTGTTCAACTGCAAGTACTTCTCGGACCTCATGTTGAAAAGGGGCATGAAAGTCACGGTTCGCCATATGATAACAGTGGATTGGAGGAAGAAGGTTCTCTGCAGAGCAGGACTGGCCAGGGACAGGGCTTAACTGTGGTTTCTCCGCTCCTGGGGAAAAAAGAATAGACTTGCCGCAGTTACGCTGGAAGGGAAATTGGCCCTTTCCAAGTGGCTCCGCTCCGATTAGGAATATTGCACTCACGATGGCTCATTTTGTTACTTGTTGTTAGTTGTAGTTGATATGGGTTTTTGTGGTTTGCTGGTTTGTTTCAAAAGCAGGGTTCACTTGATCACTCAGTGGGCTCACAACAAATTTTGCTTGGATCAGGTGGCCGAAGGTTCGGATTAGAACCGAGGGGGCCTATTGTGCTGCTAGAGTGGTCGTCCTCTGTGAGTTGATAGGATAGGTAATTTGCAGTCACAGTCTTCTGCGTCAGGTTGGGCTGACAGACAAGCGAAACTGGTTGAGGCTGCCAGGACAACTCCGGGTTGAATTGTGAGGTCCCCGACCTCAGTCATATGTGGTTTTAATAAATTGGATGTTTGCTTTTAAAATAAAAATAAAAAAAAAACGGGGGCCTCGAGGTGAGGAGACCGTACGAGCCAAGCTAATAGAAGGAACCCTTGTAGAAAATTCCACGTACCTGGTCCAAGAGCAGCACACCATACAGATACATGAGTGACGGTGTTATTGGAGCAAGCTGCAGGCACTTACATGAAGCTTAGCCAGAAGGCTTTGAAGAAACGTGTCTGGGAAACAACAGGGGCTTAGATCGAGGCACTGGGGAATCCGATTTGGAGAGGAGGATGGAAGGATCAGACGAGTGTCAGAGGGGGAGGGGGGGAAAGAGAGAGGCGGCGGAATGAGGTGGAAAGATGGGGAGGGGGAGTACGGGGCAGGTCGGGGAGGATGGATGAAGGGAGATCGTGGTATGGCGGGAAAGTGGAGGAAAAAAYGGTAGGGAGGGTGCAGTGTGGCGAGTGGTCATGGCGTGACAGAAGCGGAGCCCGCTGCGATGTCGAACTTCAGACGTCGTCCTTTCTGCTCAAAACAGGATCCGGAAATCGAGACTAGGGTCAGACCGTGGTGGTAAACAGATTGCGAAGGTAAGCGACATTGCAGGTGAACAAGGCACAGCATGGTCACGGTGCTTGTCATAAGACAAAAAAAACAACACTACGTGGTCCTGGCATAGGAGAAAATAGTGGTGTGATGGGAATAAAGTCGGGGATAACACCGTAGAGAGGGTGTTGTTAACAGAGTAGGAACGGAGACCCATAATATGTAGATCAGGAAGAGGGGAACACTTAAAAAAGGCAGTCGAGGAGGCTTATCAGAGGCCGATTGGTACCTGCCATAGAATCATTGCGGTGCCTACTCCTAAGTCCTACCCTGAATAACTCGACCCAGAGGTCCCAACAACCGCCTTTTGAGACTGAAAACTCCGATAGTGTTTTGTCGAAAATACGGCTCGGGAAGCCTTTCAATCGTAGTTCCCGTCTCAAAGCCAGAAGCGCCTGACCCACTCCTCTATGATCTGAGGAGTGGGTGTAAATCCTATCCAAATGTCCTTTAATCACGCCTTTCTTCTGGTTTGAAGGTCCATAAGACTCGTAATCCTGAGTAGATAGGATTTTGATAGGCTCATCACTCCAGATACAGTGTCGATTCTTGGTAACGACAGAGCAGAGGACTGAGGGTGGTGAAGCGGAGCAGCAGATGGAGCAACCCAAAAACTCCCAGTTAACTTTACCCAGGTCCGAACGGACCAAGGTAAGATTTTCATCGTACGATGATTCAAATCTCTGGAGAAGTAGCGCTGCCTTTTCCCTTGCAGCTTGGTCATTCCTACTAGATAGACTAAACAGACTCACATCGTCGACCAGTCTAATGCCGGTAATAAACGTCTATCAGTGCCGACAGAGCTCAAGAAGTTAATTTCGTTGAAGGAGCATAGTAGACAGGCAAGTGCAAGACTAGAACATTTTCCCATTGGTATGCTGATAATTTGCCGAATTATGAAGGTGGATGCTCGAGAATATGTATGGTCGATGTCAAATTGTACGAAGTTTAATATCTGGTCGAATTTTATGGTCACCCATCCCTTCTCACCTGACCCACAGCAGAAAGTAGCACCTTTCCCTTGTCTACTTACCCGAACTACTTTCTTTCCAGACTCTGAGTAAAAATAGCAGATCCACTCCAGGGCTCTTAGGATCGACATGTGTGGCAATTTTGTAAACATTTCCTTTATATCATAACTAGCTGATGTCAGTAAGCCATAAGGAGTGTTCACGGCCGTATTGTGCAAGGAGACGATCCTGGGTTTCAACAAGTTAGTTGCTTTAAGATTAAAATTAGAAGATCTAGGGAGATGCCATAGCAAAAAGTTAACAGCACGACCGATCAGTCTACATGCACGTACACTGGACTCAGAAAAAGAGGGAGAGATGGGACGCCATCGGAAGGTGTGTTTATGCTTAGGTAATCCGTAACAACATCCTAATTTCCCTTTTGGATTCCAACGATTCTATAGCCCTGAATCTTATCAAACTGAGATTTGCGGTTGCGTAGTAGTTCTTCCTCGTTCATTGGGACAATCTGAAACCCAGAGTTATTCCAGTATAGGGATCCCAGTGCTTGGTGATAGATACTCATGCAGCATATCAGTGAGTCTCCGGAGTTGTGATCGATTGGTGCAACCACTGGTTCATCCAATTTTTTGACCCAGTCCTCCACGCAGTCCGTGATATCGTCAGGTGGGCCATCTATAGGTTGTAGACAACATGTTAAAGACTGTTGATCGACTTCGACATCACCGGGTAGTCTGCTAAGTCTGTCTCTCAATGCTTTTCTAATGTGTGCCCTTGAAGTAGAGGTGGAACTTCAAGGTGGAAGAATGTTTCTTCAGTTTCGCAAGATTACAGGCATACCGACAATAGAGGAGATACGCATCTCTACATGTCCATCCTTATTTCGGGTTCAATCACGAGGGGATTCTGAACATGAGCAGTACTTAGAAGAGTAGATGGCTGAAGTTCTGTGATTGTGGACAAGCTGTCCGATGTTTTGGCTTTTGGACCACACGAAGTGAAGACGAGAGATAATAAAATTTGCGAGATACTGAAAATGACATGTACTTCTAATGATCCGTTTAGCCACACCGACAACATTACCTTTAACTATTGAAGAATTGAACTGCAGTTTCAAAACCATCGGGGCAGTGCAGATGAACCCTTCCTTCTTTCAGATAACAGATCCTACAATGCTGCGTAGAACTGATTGCGTGCGACCAAGCGGAAAACAGTCAATTACGTTATATAGTCGAATGAGGGTCTGGCCTTCGAAACAGTGCAGCGCTGGTCTGGTGGCCGGTACCTGTAGTAGTGACAGTAGAACAAGTTTCCGAGCGACCTGTTTATTTTTGCTCAAGCGGATCTGCAGAAAGACAAAAGTCCCACCTTCACACAACTCAGTTTTCAGGTCCTTCAATACAAACTTCGAATTATCGAACTCGACAATACTCATACCAAATAGTTTCTTGATCCTCCCCCATCCTTCCAAAAAATAACTCCCCCCATAAGAGACTATTGTGGCAAGTCGGATATCCTGGCTACCGCATTGTTTCAGGGAGTCAAGCAGAAAGTATGAACGTACAGCGTCGGGTGCGGCACACGAGGATCCAACAGACATGCGCCATGCAATAGGCCTGTCATCATGTGGCTTAGTATCTAGGAAGTTAGGCTCCCGTCTATGGTAGGACCTTTCCCCGCGACCTTTTCTTATATTAACCTTCTTCCTCTTGGTCTTACCAATGACAGTGTTGAGGCAAGGAGACCACTTACTGATAAGAGAAGCTTCTACCATGCGCAGATCAGTCTCAGATGGGTAGATAATAGGAATTGCTACGTAAGTCTCCCACCCTCGACGCTCTAACCACCTTTTTAGCTTGTGGTTTCTGCCCTTAGAATTGGTCATAGTCAGTCTTACGTGCTCTTTCCAACGCTCGTCAACCCCTCGGGCGGTGGATCCAATGTAAGTAGCTTTAGACCAAGGAGAGATGAGAACGTACACACAACGACCGTTACCCGAGCAAACGTCATAACCATTATTTACCGAATCGATCCAACTATCTAGGAACTGATGCCCCCAGCTGATCGCACCGACGGCGACCAAGAGCAATACCAAGAACCGCATCGCCGTGTCCAACTGCTAAAGCTTGCCACCCTTCATACCCATCTCTCTTCTCGCTGTCATGGTGGCATGGGCTTGGCGCCAAAGCCAACCCGTGTCACAGAAAGACGTCAGGAGGGATTCTCCTCTTGCTCCTCAGACGTAACGGCGTTGATCAGATCCTCGTCGTCCTTCTCTTCCGAGTCAGCTTCACCGTAGGCGTCACGGGTACGAAGTTCCGCAAGTTCGCTCGCTGCCTGCTTCTTATTGACGTATTTGATGTTGTCCTTCTGGCAAAGAATCTCCAAGTCAGCCTTGTACTCCTTAATGAGTTCCTTCGTCATGTCTTCCAGGTATCGTTTTTGTGCCGCTACCCCAGTGGAAGCCACAACCGCCTTCTTGCCTTCACGTACTCGATCGAACCCGAGACCGGTCGATCTTGCTGCCGAGAAGGATCCCGATACATGTCAGGCATGTCCTGCGACTGAGGCAAAAAATTCTGCAAGTCTGCCTGTGGGTCTGCTGGAGGATGGTGTGTCATTGTTTCCTCCCTCGGGGTTCGACGCCCGATTAGTAGTAGTTGGGGCCACCGATGCGCTAGCGCCTGCGCGGGTGAGAGGTCTAGTCGGGGGAGGGGGTTGGTGAGTCGGTGTCGGGGGCGAAAGATGGGCATGAGAAGGGAGGGGGGGAGATGAAGGGGTCGGTGGAGGGGGAGGGGGACCAGCAGGTACTGGAGAGACCAGGCGATGGCTCGGGCCGGTGTCAGAAGTGCGACCGGCGGAAGAAGGGGCATGATGCTTGTGATGAGGTAGATGTCCATTACCAGGTGTTGTGTAGATCTGCCGAGCGTGTGGGGGAGGAG